AAAAAGCAAAATAAAATAAAATGTAGGGACCTGAAATAACTTCTGCTAAACCCAAGATTCAGCACATCCAGCATACTGCCAGGCACAAAGGAGATGGTCATCAAGTACAGATGTTCCTCTAATTTCCCAAACTTCAACAGGTACAAAGGTCACACCAGAACCATAGTGCATGCCACCAATAAGTAATGTGGTAGCCTCTTGCATGAAGTCACTTTGGAACCATGAATGAAAGAACTGCCACAGCCTTCAGGAAGGTATCCTGCCTGACCTGAGATGATCCTGGACTAAGGAGTGCTACACCAGACCCAGGAGCGCCTTCATGGGGCCACCTCTTTGCCTTAATCATTATACACACACACAGCTCCAAAGTAGCAATGGCCTTTTCCATAAAAGAGAAACAAAACGTCTATTTGAAAAGAAATACCATGAAAATGCAAGACACCCAAGACTTACCCTGCTATTCCCAAGAAACCTCGCAATGGCAAAACTCCCCAAATGACACCCAGGACCACAGCGATGATCTGTCGGAACCAGTAGATCACATCTAAAAATTCATCCTGTAGAAAAGACAGATAGATAATGCATGCATTATCTGGAGTGGGTGCCATAGGACAGCCATAGGTGGGGAACAGAAAAGCTTCCTGCTAAACACATCTTTTTTCAACAAGAGCAATTGTATGTGGTTCTTGCATCACCTCTTGTGTTAAAATGTGGTAGAAGACGATATATTTAGATGTCTTAGGTGATTACTTCCAGAGCCTGTGCTCTAAATCAAAATTTTGGAGAAATCATTAACTTTTTAAAGAAGCTGCATAAATGAAATGCTTTGTAATGAAACGACTGTGACAGTCATTGTGCTACTGGCCACAGATAACTCTAAGGTGACCAGAAAAGACTTAGACAAACCCCAGCCAGAAGGGCTGACTGTTAACCAACTCAGCACCACTTTCCTGTACAATGAGTCTTTAATAAATCACACAGGAAAGAGAAAATTAGAAATAAAAGTTCTGGATGCAGGTGGCCAGCATACCTAAATTTCATAGAAAGACACAGAAGGCTCAATTTCTCACCTGCCCTAGATTCCGGAAACCAGTCCTTATACAAGGAAAGAAAAATGACACAGCAGATTAGAAAGACACTGCAGGTTTTGCAAGAGCTGGGCAGGGCTGGGGGCAGGACAAGGGCACCTTCAGGAAGTGCCTCCCATCCCCCCTTACAGGAACTCCAGGAAGAAAAACCCACTTCAGCAGTCCAGAAAAACAAAGGAAAGTCTGAAAGTACAATATTCTTTTCAAACCCTCTGGAATCAAGCTGTCTGTGATGGTTCCTTTCATATGATGTGACAGAGTTGTGAGGTGTCCACATTCAGATCCTTTGAATGTGACCGGTAAGAACATCCTGAAGCCCCAACCAATTCTCACACACATTTGGCGGCGTTTCTTCCTCTCTTTCTCCAACATACACGCTCACCCCAGAAAACGGTCTCAAGTCTCCACTCTCGACACTCACACTTTATAAAGTATTCGGTCTTTCTCATTAAACAAGCAATGGCAGTTCACCATTAGCGATCCTCCCTATGTGCTAAATGCTTTAATGCACCACGGTACCCCACTTCAAAGCTGTTCTGAATATTAAGTGAGGTTATGCGTGGAGAGCACCTGGCACACAGAAAGCATTCAGTAGAAGTCTGTCACCGCAACTGCTAACCACTGTATTAAATAGTTAACAAGAGGAAGATAAGTAACTTAGTTAAGATGCTACTGGGAATAAAAGGCGGAGGCCGAATCCGATTCAGCTCACTCACACCGTTCAGGCACACGCCCTGACCGCGGACAACTCCTCTGCCCCTCCTCGCCGCTTCCGCGTGACCAGGAGGCTTCGCCCTTCGGACACCCCGCGGTGAGCTCCGAGACTGGCTGCCAGGCCCGTGCCCGCCAAGTTCACCCCGGCACCCTGGGGCCACCTCCCCCAGCACCCCACTCGATCGCGCCCGGACTGGGGCGAAGGGAGGCCCGCCCCGTCCTCCCGTCCCCCGAGTCCCAGCCGGCTCCTCGAACCTGAGCCCTCGCCAGGCTCCACCGCACCTTGTCCTCCCAGGCTGCGTCGCTCCGCAGCACCTTGCTCCAGACAGAGACTTTGAGGGCCCCGTGGGCCAGCTGCGGCTGAGGCGGCTCCTCCTTCCGCCGCCCACTGCTCATCCTCCCGTCGCGCCGCCCGGGCCGGGCCTGGGGCGCCCGGACCGAGCCAAAGGGAGTCGGGATCTGGGGTTGCAAATCACGACTCGCGGGGCGGCGGCGGCAGCAGCAGCAGGTTCAACCGTGTGGTGCTGCGGCGTGCTGCAGTTCCTCTCACTTAGCCGAGCTGCCGGGTTCTGTTCGCTTTACTGAGCAGGCGCAGTGGATGGGGGGGGCAGCTCCGCGCTGCGCGTCCCACCCCCGCGTGCCCACGCAGCCAATCGGCGGCTGCGCAGCCCTAGTGAACGAGCGGCCTCCGCTTCGGCGCAAGCGCTCTACTCGTAGCGGAAGTGATGGTAGGCTTCCGCCAGGCGTACGTAGGGTGAGTGGGAAGGGACAATCTTGGTGGGTATGGCGACAGGAGCGCGAGAACGCGCTGTGGAGACGAGCGGCATCTGAGGCGAAAGCGGAGATTGGACGTGAGCATCTCCCAATTAGCCACGGCTTGTCTCCGGGGCAGCCGGGGCAGAGGCGGTCCTGCCTTTCGTGAGGCGGCCTTGCGACCTACTTGTCTGTGGAGCCCACACACTTTGCTACCTGGGAGCTCGAAGCTGCCCCGCAGGATTTAGTGCCTGCTCGTCTTCTCCCCTAACTCTGCAAGTTCTGTGGAACCTTATCCAAGATGTTAACTCTTCTATAATAACTTAGGGTCTCATCTCGCCCAGTATCCTCTTTTGGCAAATGTGAGCTCTGAGATCCCAAGAGGGGAAATGATTTTCTAAGGCTGTATAACAAGTTGGAACCAACTGAGGACTCCTCAGAGGGGAAATACGAGAGAGAAAGTATTTTATTAGGCATCACGATACCTGAATATTCATCTGTTGAGTCCTCACTGTGGCTATGTCAGTGGTTCCAGACCAGCAGCGGCCGCCTCACCTGGGAACTGAATAGAAGTGTATATTATCGACCACATCCCAGACCTACTGAATCAGAAATTTTGGAGTTGGGGGCCCATCTCAGTGTTTTAACAAGCCCTCCACGTGGTGCCATGCGCCCTGTGCTATGTAATAAGTCGAGACACCAAGGCACGTTACTTCTGTATAGCGGGTTTATAGAGGCAAAGAAACTTGCTCAAAGTCACCTAATTAGTACCTGGGTCTATCTGACTCCAAAATATGTTCCCTAAGCCCTTAAGCTTAAAGTCTTAGAGAATATAAATAAGGTCAGAACATCCTTTGCACAGTTGTCAACGTTCACCTGTAGTTCTTCACTTTAAGTGAGCAACAATTTCCTAGGGAGCTTTTCCAGAATACCATAGCTGGTGCTTTCCATCCCAAGATCCTGTTTCAGTAGATTGAGTGGGACTGGACCCCACAGGAGATACACATTGCAACAGACATTTCCCTGTCTGGAACTGGTGGAAGGACCATACACTTTTATGTATGCACATCTGTAGTCCTAATTTTCACATGGATCTTGTTTTTACCAACTCTGCCTCCTTTCTGAACCAGTTCCCTTCCCAAATGCAGTGGTAAATCCTAACCAACTAACTCCAGTTTGGAAGTGTACCACTGGTACAAAACCTCTTTTACAGACTCCCTGCTGGCATGCAGCCTCTGGAGACAAACTGATCACTATCATGGAATGTTGGAAGAATTCCTAGCCCATGGCCAGAGGTAAGTTTTCATTCTGCTGGGTCTCACAGTGAAGATGTGTAATGGGTAATGTGAGCTGGAGGGTCAGGGAAGACTGAGCTCTGAAGGAAGGGTAGGGGTTAAGATGGAGAAGAGGGAAGGGAAGGGGAGAGAGCACTCAAGGAGATGAAACCTTGTGGGCTAACGGTAAGTAATGAAGCCCCAAGTAGGGGAAGGAAGTGAGAGAATCATGTAGAAGGTCCCTGTACTGGCCAGCTGCCAAAATAATAAATAAATAAATAAAGCAAATACCTTTTAAAAGAAAGAAAGAAAGGAAGGAAGGATTTGGGTAGGGGAAGTGATCAGAAAAAAAAAGGTCACTCTGGTTGCTATTTGGGGGCCTGGATCAGAGTGGAAGACTACATAAAAGGCTGTTAAAGGCATTT